CCCCATCCCTGGGCGGGCACAGAGCCTCTCCCCATCCCCATCCCCATCCCTGGGCAGGCACAGAGCCTCTCCCCATCCCAATCCCCATCCCCATCCCTGGGTGGGCACAGAGCCTCTCCCCATCCCAATCCCCATCACAGCCAAGAGCTCACCAAGCTGCTCATGGCCACACCAGCACTGCCAAGCTGGCAGGGAGAAACTCTCCTGAGGGAATCACAACCTCATGGAGCAGAAAGAGAGGCCAGAGAAATCCAGTCAGAACCATCCTAAACCATATAAAATTGATCCAGGGACTCAGACCTTCCCCCCAGTCCCACTCACAACCTCCTSACCAACACACTCACAAAGCCCAATGACAATTTTTGCATTGCAAAACTGCATTTCAGACACACGTTCACGTGCTCCTAATTGGATATGGAAAAACGCAGCTGCAATTCAAATGGCTTTGAAAAGCACTAATAAAATAATAATTTTAATGATTTTCTGTGGTTAGTAAAACAATGTTCATTTATAAAAACAACAACTGAATTGATCTAAGTCGCACAAAAYGAGGTGCCTCCATTTCTCATTACCGTTACCATGTCCTACATCACTCTAATAAATKGCACTGTCACCAGCTCATTACAGAGAGGCAGCTGAGCGTGCTCCTGGTAATTATTTCAGACTGGGTTATTAACAGTCCCCCAGCAGGACACGGTTCCACAGCACYGGCCACGGAGCTGCCAGGGACTGCCCACTCACCCACAGGGTGCTGGCCCTCATTTCCACCACCAAACTCCTCCTCACYGGACTTTCTTTTGCCTCTGGAAGCGTGGGAGCTGTTCTACAGCTGTGCAAYCTGCCTCCTTTCTGCAATAAACCYCAGTGGCACATGAACTCCTGCTCTGCACCCCGGGTACTTTTCCAGCAATAGCCGTCCCTGTACCAGGTCACCACAGCCATGCTCCAAAACATGATTCACCTTTCACATCCTTCAAATTCCCCATCCATTACCCACRGGATAATTTACTCTAAATTATACTCTTCATCATCCTTTGTACTAGGAAATAACACCGCAGTTTCTAAAGATGGGTGTTCTCAGCCCAAAGTGGGTTTAATGCCAGGGCTGTTCAACAGGGACTGTCAGTGCCATTCCTGAGCTGCTCTTTACAAGTTTTCCAAGCATTCACTGTATTTTCCTTTTAACCTGCTGTTTCTTTCTGGCCCTTGATGCACTCTGAGCGAACTGAACTGTCATTGATTTCTATGGGTCCTTTTTCTGCTCCCCACTTTACGGGAGTCACTTCCAGCACAGGAGCAAGCAACAGCTAAAGGAGGAATGTGCAGAACCTCCTCACTCCTGCTCAGGGCTCGCAGTGGGCCAGGCTATCACTGGCTTTGAGCTCTGGGCTGATCCTGCTCCTCACAGCACCCAAAGGTGCCTCTCTATGGTGGGGTGGGACAGGCAGAGCCCCTGGGCCAGGGCAATGTCTGAGCTCAGCACTGCCCCTGACCCACTTGCTGCTGACCCAGTTGGACACTGGCAGCACCCAGCAATGCCATGGGACCCAGCCCTGCCACCCATGGGGACAGCCCGGGCTGGGAGCCCAGGGAACACCATCCCCACAGGTCATCCATCCCCAGGGTGTCCCTGGACACTGCTCCCTTCACACTCCCYGTCAGCAAAACAAAGGAGAACGGGAGCCCAGTAAATCCATGGTGGGTGTTAAATTAGATTATGCCCGGGTTGCCTGGATACTGTATAATCACTGCCATGACCAAACACATTTAATACAGGGTAATTGGTTGGCAAGGTTCAGACAGGGGAAGCAGGGAACAGTAAATATTCCGGGGCTGTCAGAGCTCCAGTGGGTGCTCCTGGCTCTGCTCCCACAAAACTCCTGCTTCCTGTGTCTGGAATCACTCCCTACCTGTATTTTATCTATGTATTTATATATATGCACACACCTTTGTGTATGTATTTTATATATAAAYACACATTTTATATATAGATACATATTTCATAGATAAAATGTAGGTGTCTGAGTCTCAGCCAAAAGTGCCATTATTAGTTCAAATATCTTCCCTGATTCAGAACAAAATCTCTGAGCAAACAACCATCTGTAGGGAACAAAGGAGAAGTCTGGAGTGTTTCTATTTCTATGCCTGGGACAAACCTTTGAGAACAAAGTGCTTGTTGTGGCTGGCCAAGCAAGTCCTCCTAGGATGGAAAATAATGCAGCTCATTCCTCTTGTTACAGGTAAAAATCCATCCCCTGTCTGCCACCACCAGMAGAGCTTSTGTTTAACATGAAAAGTCAATCACRCAGAGRCCAGCAATGACCAGAATKATTTATGCTGTTCTGGGTAGTTTGATATAAAATTAAACACTGCCCTATGATCCTGGACTTACATGGAAGGTGAAAAGGTCTGCTGACTCAGACCCACGGTGGGTTTCCCAGCCTCGGGAATGTGTCTGATGGCTGGGAAGCAGCAGGTGTTTATGGCAGGAATGTTGTGACTGGCACCCAGCACAGAGCTGGTGAAACCAGTGATGCAATTCCAGCTGCAGCAGCACCCACTGGTGTCCCAGGCAGCTAAATCAGCCTATCACACATTCCTAAACTGTTCCTAAAAGGCTCATGTGCATCGGAGGAGGTGACAGGGACAGCAGTGGCTGCTGGCAGATGGCCATGGAGAAGCAGGGAGCACGACCAGATCCACTTCATCTTGTGTTCAAAAGCCATGTGSATGTGGTACCTGGGGACATGGGCTGGTGCTGGCCTTGGCAGTGCTGGGGAATGGCTGCAGATGATGATTTCAGTGGGCTTTTCCAACTTTAAAGATCCCATGATTGCCAGGCCAGAGCAGACAGGCACAGAAAGGCCACACTTCACTGCACAGAACCCATGGATAAACCCACCCTGTTTATCAAGGCTCCCGACTGCCTGCACTCCTCAGGCTGCTCTGGGTGCAGGGAGCTCTGCAAGGGCAGCCCAGAGCAGCAGCAGCAGCAAACTGGGCTCACTCAGCCCCACTGTGGGATCAGGAACACGGGCAATATGGACAAACCCAGCTCCTGCCATGGGCTCACAGTTCTGCAGCTTCCCCACCGCCCCGGAGCCACACCTGAGGAATGCACATGAGCACAGCAGATCCAGGAGGAGGACAGATCACCAGGGAACGACAAAACCTCCCAGTGATCACCAGGGGAAACTCTCTGAATGCCAAACCCTTGCTGCACTCGGGTTCCCTGCTCAGCTGGGACCAAACGTTGATTCTGGGTGCCCTGACTTGCTCCAACAAGACTCGCTTTTCCTCCCGGGTGGATCTGGCCACAGCTGGATGCTTGGGTTCACTCCCAGGGAAAAAAAAAGGGGCTGGTGTTGCACTGAGCAGACAGCGAGGCCAAATGTGAGGTTGAGTATCGGCGAGCCCGATCAGCGAATGCCGAGCGTGCCGAGGCTTGCCRGGAAAACACGCAGGGAGTCAGCCTTCCCAGCAGACAAGGACTG